ACAAATGTTTAAACTCAATTATCTCGAAATGAGATAAATGTAAAAATGGGCCCTTTTAATTGAAGACACCCCATATGTGAAGCAACATATGGAAGATAGAATCGCTACCTTAAGTCTCTAACCCAAAATGAGCTTTAAGAACTTGATATTGCAATTACTATTCCAACTAATATGCAATGTACAATTGCATGGGAGTATAGCATGAACGAATTTTTTTATTCTATGATGAGGATCGATTGAACGTTAATGTTAGTACTATACTGACAATCTAAGGCGGCATATTCATCAACAGAAATGCATTTAAAAAACACATGCGGGTCCTTGCACTGTTATTGCAGCGGTGGATCCTGTAAGATTCTTGCAGCTGCGCGCCCGAAACAAAAAGCTTACTAGCTGAGTGGTCATAGTGATGTGAACCGTAAATTATAAATAATCTACGGGTTACTTTAAATTTATGGATATCCATCGGTTTAAAGTAACCCGTAGATTATTTATATTATCTGTTCAATATTCAGTTCACATCGCTAAGTGGTCACTGCACCACTTAGCCATTGTACCACTCAGGTAGGGCTCAATTCCCTATAATCGTATGCGATCACATTCATAATACACTCTAAACATACGTACGTACGTATCTAACCCAACAAGGCACTAAATGCCAGTGTTGGTCATTTTAGGTCATATTCAACTTTATATGACCAAGTGGTCATATAAATTTTATAAGTCATAACAAGTCATAAGGTCATAACGTAGGTCATAGGCCAACACTGCTAAATGCTAATTACAAATTTATGCATGCGATCTATCCTAAAATTATCTGATGCCGCATTAATGAACGCCGTCACTTCTTTGACAAGCTCCCAGAAAAAGTGAAAACCATGAGGAAATTCGTTTGTGTACCGTAATGTCTCGAAAAAATGCCCCGCCGCCTAGTTATGCGAAAAAAATAAAAAGGGTTGTATATCGTAGACATGGTTATTTGCCATTTTGTAGTGACATTAATACGACAAATTATATATTACATTACATGTTAGCTAGACATTTTAATGGAATTCATCAATCAAACAAAGGGTAAATACATATTTAATGGGGTTTTTTTATTAATACAACCCGAATTTTTTTTAAATAATTAAAGTTAATGTAGACAAAGTGTGTGGATTCTTTCTATTGATGGGGGAGGAATTCGGGGTTTAATTCCAGCCATGATACTTGAAAAACTTGAGGAAGAAGTATCAAAGAGACGAGGAAAAGATGTTCGAATTGCTGATATGTTTGATATTGTAGCTGGTACTTCAACAGGTTCTATTATTTCTTTGGGGCTCACGGTGTCAGATGGGGCTGAAAATCCTCGTCCAAAGTATCGGGCGTCTGATCTGGTAAAACTTTATAATGAAGAGGGGGAGAAGTTTTTTGGCCCAGTTTCCCGTTGGTCTTGGGTTAGATGGTTGAATAAGCTATCTGAGGAACCAGAACCGGAAGATAAGACAAAACAAAAGCCTGCAGTTGATATATTTTATCCTACATATTTTAGGGAACAAACTGAGATTTTGGGACCAGTATTAGGGCCTCCTACACCTTCATATTCTAGCGAATCACTTGAAAAAATTGTAAAAATGGGCCCTTTTAATTGAAGACACTCCATATAGTAAATAAATCTCTGATCAAGTAGATTAAGCAATAATAATCCATAGTTCAAGGTTGGTTGAAACTTTTTTTTATTTACGCATAATTTATGTTAAATACTATCTCTATATAATAAATTTTTATTTACCAATTTGATATTAAAAATATTATTAAGTTAATGAAAAATGGACGAACACCACTGTAAAATTTTTAGATCTGATGCATTAAAATTGATCATAAGATCGATTCTATTTTATCTTGATATTGTACAGTTGTTTAAAAAGAGGTTTATTAATTTCACGTATCATAGCATATAAAAAACTTATTTTTCCTCACGATACGAAGCAGTTAATCAAAACACGGTTATCTCCATCACTGAGAAGCGCGCAATTTTACTCTGGATATTGCATAAAAATTTCCTCATGCATAACGATAAATAAGTTTGTCTCAACTGCGTAAAGATCTTCCATTAGTTTTATTACTATAGTGCAATTTCTGTTTACGTATTTTTCGAGATGCGTTCTTTTGGATAAATATATACCACTTTATATTAATATTCAAAAGAACTGTCAAAAAATGAAATTTGGCAACCTTATTGACATGTAAGAAAAATATTAATGACTTAGATATTGATTCACATTACATAATCCCAAATTTAACAGATTTCATTTGAAAAAGCATTAATTCGGAAGTGCACTATTTACCGGAGAAATGATATTATCTGATTGGAAAAAAAGTACCTTAACTAATAATGGAATATATCGTATGCAATATCATATGTCGATGATGATTTTTTATACGTATTTATGTTTTGTCTCATGGCTTTGGGTAATTAATTTTGCATGGATTTATGCAATACCAGATACGTGCGTACTTGCTCAATTATTATGTTGATCACGAATAATTAGCAAGTCGATGAATCTTAGTTTCCAAACCGGTATGTAATCTTAAATTATGAGTCATGGAAGTGAAAACCTGAAAGTTCCCTAAAAATTGGATAATCAGCAATTTAATAGTTTTAACAATCCATTACAAATTATAATAAGAATGTAGCCAACAAGCAAAAATATAATTATATCAATTTTACTTATAAATATAGTTATACTGATAGTCGACAGATAGTAATTTGATACTTGCACATGAGTTCTCATTATAGATTAATAAGTAATTGGATTTCTCTCAATAGTATTATAACATTTAAAAATTTTCACGAACCCACGTCAATTTATTTAATAATGGCTGAATTAAAAAGCAATATGAAATCTGACTCCTATTGTAGCAAAACCGGTATTTTTATATTCCTCCAGAATTTTCAAAGTATAATAAAATTACCCACTGTCACGAGTGTCCTGTCCATTCCAAAGTATCTGATTAGTCAGAACCTATAAGTGCATAACTCAGACTTCAAATTGTCAGTACGTGGGAAAATGCATCATTGGCGATCATGACGTAATACTATGTTAAATACTGTCTACTTACATTAAAATATCAATACAATCATTATGTATATTGACATTCGATTAATAAATCATATACCGGTATGATACTGTATAAGTAAACAGATCCGTATAGTACAGGCTATACTTATTAGGCTTAGAAATTATAGCTGATTAATATCGGTATGGTGTAGTTTTTAAAAAATTTGTGCCTGTACTATACAGATCTGCTCACCTATACCACTGTAATTTCGGCTAATGATATTTAAAATCTTAGAGAAATTACCTTTATTTTCATCACCCTTGCTTTATTGTGACTACTGGCTTTTCCTCCCACTAATATTTCCTCCGTTATTACAAAGTATAACTCATGAACATCTGCTTCATACTATGGTGGCAGTGCAAATACCTGCAATTACTCAGTTCCACTGCCACAATGGCTATGCAGATACTCTTACACACTGCCTAGCCTTAAAACACCTTACGTTGACCATAGCCAATTTTCATTATAACCTTGCTATTTTCTCTACATTTCCTAGCTTGCTACTCCTTTAAGGTTAATTTTATTGTAGTAACGTAAATAACAAACAGTTAACTATCTTACCCCTTAAGCATATCCTGATATTATAAAATAACAAGTAAGTTTCATACCAAATTTATATACAGTAACTCGCGATAGAATTCATGGAATTCATGATAACTCCAATGAAAACTAACTCAACCTTAACCACACACTATGTGTCGCTGGAATAACCAGGTTTTGCAAAGAATTTTTATAATAACTGATGGTAGAAATCAATAATTCAAATAAAACCACAACGATCAATAAAAGAAAATGCAGGGGGCACCAGTAGTGCCCCATCTAATCTTGTAAATTATAAAATAATGAAAAAAAATAAATTATTTAGGTTAACTTAATAAACATTATATATATTTAATTATATAATGTATAACAAATGAAATCATATATGTTTTTTCCTTTGTTATATTAAAATCGTCCAATCAAGCAACAATAATGGTCTAATCATTATTATCAATTAACCATACCAGCAAAAACTCTAACAAAAGCAAAAAAAATAATAATAAACATTTACCCATACTGCATATCTTGTGAAAGCAAAAACTTACAATAACACGATCAAGTATATTATAGTCGTACAATTCTATATTAAATAAATACATCTATATAATCTTATTAAAAGCAAATGCCTGAATATAATCATAATTGCATGTTATATAATTTTATACTCTAAATACCTTATTTGATATACAAACTATTAATCGATACAATATGTAAAAAAAATAATTCAAACTTCTTGATGATTGACATTATATTTGCAACTTAATTATTCTTACTATTCGATGCAATTATATAAAAAGCTTCCTTAGCATTATATCCTTTAACCTTGTTTTAGTACAAAGTTCAGAACAGATATCACTTGGTAATTATCGAGATCGACTCACGAATCTCTACTAATCTATCCTTCGATACTTCTGATTTACTCAGTTGTGACTATGTGGCGTATTCTTTAGCTGCCATATCAAAATCTTCATTCATTTCTAGCATCGCAAAGTAATATCAGCAGTTTCTGCTTCATAATCTCTTTAGAGAGACAAGTGATAACTTTTCTCCGTTTTCTTCGATTAAGCATAGCAGTATTACATGTCTGAACATATGCGTGATTTTGGTGAAGTTCCACCATACAGTGGTGCAACTTGCTATTCTCAGCTTGTTTAAATTGTGTATTTGCACGCTGAATTGCTTTTTGCTTGCGATCTTTCATTTTCTAATTTCTCTCCTCATTTTAATAATCTCCATAATATATATCAATAAACATGCCAAAATTCATTGAATCATGCTTCTTTATATATACATTTTTTAAAGATACATCGCTACGTTACTAGTACCAATCCGCAGATTACACGTAAATATGTATGATAATAGGTACAATACCAAGTGGACAACTTCAAAATATTAGATAGCTTTATTTGAATAATTTTTTTTTCTTTACAATTTTTGCTTATTAATTATCAACAAAGAGTCTATTTACTTCCGTTATCAATACATTATACACATAAATAATATAACATTACGAGCAATGCCCATTATCATTTACCCACGATAACTAATATCAAGTATTGTTTGAAGTCATGAATATGAACTTATATAAGAAGTTAGTCCTGACCAATTAGATACTTTGATGCAGGGTGATTTTATTATATTTTGATGACGCGACGCAAATAATAAAAGTAATATAATCAACACGTTTACATTATTCTGTATTGTCATCTACTAAATAAATAGTAAATGATATGAAAAAGTTCATTGTTTCATTTACCATAAATAAAATTACCGATTGAACTGGAATAGTGTAATAAGCTTAATACTGCGTCAATGTAAACAGTACAATACACATTAATGCAAACGCGATGCAAATAGAAACGTCAATTACTAATTAAATGATTACGTAAAACGTGGCGTGGTCACACATTGGAAACTCTCAAACTTTACAACAATTAAATGCGAATATGTAGGCACGTACACATCATATAATTGTATAATATTTCCATAAGCCATAAAAAAAACATAAACGGCTAAGTAATTAAAATTTTGCCAGCTTTAATCAAATGGTAGCGATTAAAAGTTACCTTGATTAAATTTGCAAACTCGAAATTATCCGTGTTTACATATTTAGAAATCATAGCATTCAACCAAATGTAAGATTTGTGGACGCACATCACTGACCATTTCGGTAAACCATGTTTTCACTTACGGAAATTCCGTTCTTCGTATATCACTCCGTTCCTGGTATTAAATCCGAAAAAGTGAACACATTTCCATTTACATATAATTGAAAATGTGGCCCGTGCCGAAATTTATCCGAATCTTACAAAAACTCATTTAAATATCACAAAATAAGCAAAATCGGCCGATATGATTTCTAAACAGCATTATTTTTTTAGGCTCTCGAAAATTCTACGTAAGCACCCTGTTTGTGTAGTAATTTGCTATATAGCATACGTATGTCTTATCCCTAGGCATAGGTGGCTCAACTTATAATCAATTAATATTTTATTAAAAGAATTACTTATACTTAGTTGTGCAAGCGTATTCAAAAAATTACAGTCCAATATATGTCACGACATGTAGTAATACCCATTGTATTATTGTTACACACTTGAGACAATGCAGTTTGACGTATTATGCGCTGTATGCGTAATATGAATTGTATACGCCGTATATAAGATACTATACTAAATTACAAGAATAAGAAAATGTTGTAAGATTAAAATTAATTGCAATTGATACCTGAACAATTTATTAATATTTTTTATTTATTAAATGTAGTCGCCATTACAGCATTAGATTTAGGTCTTCGTTGATGTTTGGTTGTACCAAATGAAGAAATTATCGGCGAAATAGTTAATTTTTTTGTCATATAAGATTATAAGGCTAAAAAATGAAAGCATCCGAATTTGTTTTTGGACTTTCTAATATTATTTTATTTTTCATAATAAAAATTTCCAGTATAAGAATAAAAGAATTTGTTGATTCTGAGGGTTTGAATCCATGACAAGTTGCATGAATGATCTCTTTGAATACTCCATT